CCCCCCCCCCCCCATGTATTATAAGACAATATTTCAGACATCCAGTGTGGTAACCTTTGAATTTTAAAACCCCTGATGATGATATTGCAGGGGCTACATAAATGTGAGAGACTTGGCCTATTGTGGATAAAAAGAGTGCATATGTGATGCTTGTAGGTTGAAAATATCCTGCTACATGATCGCGGCCATTATGTCCTGTGTGACTTTGGAAGCGCCACCAACAAATTCCAGAACCCTCAAACTGAAGGAGTGAACGCAGTCGAAGAAGAGATCAAAAAGTAAGTCTGTCTGTCTGTCTGTTTTTCTTTTTTAACCCAGGCCTGTTTCCTTGTAAGGCTAATACTTGCTGTACTGGAACCAAACTATGCTTAGGTCTGGCAAGGAAGATTCGATGCTTTGGAGGTAAAAAAAAAATTGGCTTGGGAACTGCTTTGGGTTTGATAGGACTTGTGTATTGATAGACATGGACCAGCTCTGGGATGCACTGATAGGACAGTGTGGTTGCAAGAGTCAGTCCCTCACTCCTTTCAACTGCAGAGCCAGTGAATGACAAGATACTTCAATATATATTGCCAGCAGCCTTCCATGATCACAGTTAGAGGAGGCTAGGCTATGACATCTGTAAATCATAGATCCACTCGGATACAAAGTGTCATCATTGGGGGTCTCGGCCTGTGGCAGTCTGTTGCTTTCCTGTGTGCAGTGCTTGGCTTAAGATGATGCAGTTTCCACTTCCATTTGAATTGCAAAGTAACCTTCCTCCTGGTTATCATAACTGAACAGGAATTTCAGTATGGAAGGCTATTTATTAGAAGCTATGTACTTGTATATTGGCTGAAGTCCCATGAGTAAGGACAAAGAAAGGGGCATGCAACTGTCTATGCCCTTTGAGAATAAGCAAATATTATGAATTCCCACATCCCATTCTTAAGATGAGAATATATTTTCTATGTAAACTTTGGCTGTAGAAAGGATTTTGCTGCAGCCTTTGTTTTCCAGGAAATTTGTGGAAGTTAAGTTTTTGCTTTTCATAACCAGGTTCACTCTTATGTCCAATAAAAATCTAAATCTCTAAATTGAATTGGAACTATTTTAACTAGTTGAAAATTTCAGTACCTAGCCCATTTCCATTACTGTGAGGCAAAGTTGGAATAATTGAGGAAAATACTGTATAATTGGAATGAACTGATTTTCTTCCCTGGCTGTGGCTTCAGTTCACTCACGGACCTTTCTGTTGTAGGTACACAACACTATCGTATAGAGCACCAGAAATGGTCAACCTCTATAGCGGCAAACTTATTACTACAAAAGCAGATATATGGGTATGTACAAAACCTATGTGGTATTCATAAAGCTGACATGCACTCCCAGTTGAAAAACAACCTGCAACTTGTAATTACATGTTAACTAATGGATAGACTTAAACACCCCTTTGTGGCAGAGATGACCAAGCTCTATGTAGAAGGAACCATTATTTGACTTTTGGGTTGGGTTATTACAAATGTTGTTTCATATTTCACAGGCTGATTCATGAGATGATAATTGCCCACTCTATTAAGCTGCTGCCTTCTCTGTTGCCTTCATTGAGAGCTGGGTGCAGTTCTTGGCTGAACAGTTCATTGCGAGACCTAGTCAACTCTTAATGAATTTACAACCTCCAAGCTTTTTTTTATTTCACATAAAACCCAAACTTGATAGTGAAGATGACCCAAAGCAACCTCTGGCTCTGCACCTCGAACATGTGACATCAAAATGGGACAAAGTAAAAAAAAAAAAAAAAAAAAAAAACAAAAAAAAA